TCGTTGAATATTCTGTTCATGTAAAATTAGCAGACTAACCGAAAGCTGGGAAATATGCTACAACCGTGTTGGTCAACACCACATGTGCTCACAAATGAAGCACATTGTTTTTTGTGGAGCACTTAGACCATCGAAGTGGCAACTCAAAGGCTACTGTTTAAAACGGTTTGTGTCTTCATAAGCACCGTGTCTGAAAAATTATTTACTGTTCGAACAAGCCCTCGTCGAGTATTCCCTGTGCCAAGACGTAACTGGACTAAACTCACTGTCTATTCACGTGTGTATTGTGCAGCTCAAGTGATGTTCGGTTTCGTCGAGGTTGGTGGAATAATAAAGATGTTAGGGTTAAGTTCGTCCGTGCGATTAAAAAATTACCAAGTGTTACAAATGTCTCCGCCAGAAACAAGTTGATAAACAATAAATGAACTATTCTCATCACAAATTGCATAGGTTTTATATGTGAATAGGACATGGATAACCTCAAGTAATAGCATATTGAAATGCTAATACCAGTTGGGTTCCAAGAAGTAAATATATTTTCTTTTGCCGATCGAATCTGCTGAGTGTACAACACCAGGTTCGGATTTACACTGATATCCTCAAACTGTCTTAGAATTCTGAATCTAAACCCTTGGACAAAACAATTCCCCTAGATAGCTTTGTTAGTAAGTTGTGCGCCTCCGGGGGTTCCCTTTGTTAAATTTCTCGCCTCTGTGCGACACTGGGATTGTAGCCCGACACGTTGGACGAACACCCGCTACGTGGTATGATGGATACCCATGCAGTATTCATGGCCCATTATATTCATTATGCATTACATATGATTTGGAGATGTGTGAAAACAAGGGAATGTAAATTTGAGGGGGTGGAGAGGGTTCTAAGCCGGGCAAAACGAACATGCCGGACGACTCGGCTCGGTGCAGATAGATAGAGCGTGGTGGTGCCGCTGCTTGTAGGTGTACAGAAACAGCAGTTATATGTGCAGTGATTTGAAGTGCGGACCAAAACTCACCAGATTTTCGAAACGTGTCATACTGACTTGATGCCCACGTATTTCTGTTATATTGGAGGTGGGTTTGCATACTGAATTCTGGAAGAGATGTCACCTTCACTGTCCTAAGGTATTCCTCTGCGCATTCTCCGGTTTCACTCTCCAAGGCGTCGCTCACGTGCAACGGTTAGGTAGTGGCTGAGTATATGCATCAAATATTCAACAGCGGCAGGTTTCATTGTCGGTATGTGATGTCGTTCTCCTCCCTGTTTTGTACACTCCAGTCACACACGCACACACACACACACACACACGCATACACACGGGCGCTATCTTGTTCGCTGAGTTTGAATGACTTGAGATGAATACTCAATTTTTCTTCAGGATTTTGGTTCAGTAAAGCAATGACGCGTGTCTGATTAACCAACCGAATGAAAACAAGCAAGAATCACGTGTGCACGCGGGTACAAGTGTCCGGGATGAGATTTTCCCCACCGACAGAATAGACAGTATCATAGACCCGAAACAGTCGCAATCGTCTATGATGCTGTGTTNACTACGATTTTTTTTCTACTTCCATTGCCTTGTGAATTGTGGACAAAATAGAATCCATTCAACAACTTTCCCCCCAGACAATAACCAAACCTGGTGACGCCTATCGGGACTGGAAGCTCTTCAGGGATGATCTACACTGTTCACAGTAATTCTTTGGCCTGTTCGATAAACATCATAAGCGATATACTTTGACCTGTAGATAATATGCGTCGATTTTTGGAAAACGCAACCGGTCAGGACACTGTTGTTTCAGTCTCCTTTGACCGGAGAAGTCTGAGTGAAATTCCTGGTACGGTGTGCCGCAGTTTGATTGATTCATTTATCAACAATTTGTCTCTATATTCTTCTATCCCACGCCACCCCGGGGTGAAGAAGGAAAGGGCCTCTTCAACTCGCGGTTTCAGGCTTGAAAAAAATAAGTGAACTAAAGCAATGTTACTGCCTTATCTGAATTTTATTTAGGAAGATCACTGATAGATGACGAGCAAAGTACAACATGCCTAGAGGAGATCGAATTTCCAAGCGAGAACCCCGTGTTTTGCAATCTCATATTTGATGTGAGTAATGGAGGATTTGATATAATCTCAAAGGGGAAATTCGTCATGTATATGGCAAATGAAGCGTGAATTGAAAAGTTAGGAAGCGCTGGACAGCTGTTTCGACCTGATTGGGTCTCACCAGCAGTGCGAATCCATCAACCCAACTGGGGATCGAACCCGGAACCTCACATGCAGGACGTAAGCATGCCACCCACTCAACCCAAACAGGTCAAAATAACTGCTCAGTGTTTCGTAGCTTTTCAGTTCACGCTTCATTTACCATATATATCACGAATTTTCCCTTTGAAATTTCATATTTAATTGATATGTATGTACATTCACCAAAATTGTTTGTCCTTGGTCAGCTCACTTCTTTGAATATAGAAAACTTTGTATCTCCCCCATTCTCCTTTGTTAGAATTATATTTGTACAACTGTTTTTGTTGCTGATGGTATGAAATACGAGCTGAATCACAATCACTATTGTAATCTACATAGTGCACATCCAGCGATTACAGTGACTGTCAGCGACGCACACTGATCCTAACAATCCGAGGTTCTATTATTTTAAACGTCGCTCAAATTTGGTGGTAAATAGTCTTGCTAACATCCGATCTAATAAAGCACCTTAGATCTTAAGCCGCCCGCTATTCCAAGCTGCTGACTTCGAGTTGCCTGGTCTCATGAATGAATATCGCGTAATTAGCACAGTAAAAGAGCACAACTATACAGAATAATTTGATTGGACAATATCTAATGTTTGTTACTTCGTCTGTCACAGTAATTCAAACATCGGAGAGAATTTCAAATAAAAAACACCGAGACAATTGCAAGGAATCGAAGGCACAGTTTTCCCATGAAGTTAAATAGATAGGTTGAAAACAGATCTTTCTAATGCGTCCAGATCACCTCTCCCGCACATGTACACATGTTTCATGATTATCTTTGAAATAGCTGGATGTTGGACCAGCTAGACCGAACGAATCCCGAAATGGTCTCAGAAAATATGGAGTAAAATCTCCGAGAGTAGGATATCACTAGTGACACAGGAAACTCAATTATTCTGTCACATAACGCGTGGTTGAAACAAAGCTGGACATAAACTCGAATGACACATTCGGTATGCTTTACAAGACAAATGAACCATCATTTTCAATAAGTCGAGGTGCTAACCATTAAAAATTCCCATCCCCAACTGTGTAAACTACGTGGATGACTTTACATTCTGACATAATCTAGGTGACTAAGGTGATTTTGCTGTGGGTTACATACACTCCGTGGAAGTTCGCTAATTCTCCACATACATGCGGGGAAGTGCCCATGAAAAAAAACAGGCTCACTCAAACATCATCGTAAATTCCTGAACTATTCGTTCAAAATTTTGCATTTCAACCGTTTTGTTGTCCCTCGAAGCTTCACGATTTGAGTGTCGGCATGCAAGCAAAAAAGTACACACGAATGACGAGTCACGATATGGACGGAACAGCTAGCTCAATTCAGTGCTCACAAGGAAACAATTTGAATTTTAACAGTGAAAAACAACAACAGATATTGCTTGACGCTGACTCATATCATCCAAATAAGTTTAATCCAATCGAAGCTTCCATAAATGGGGATTTCGATGACTTTGATGTTCTCATACGTACCTAGGACAATAGTCATTTTGTATGCTGAACATATCCCGTTTTTTTTGTGAACGATGCTTGGTGCAACCGTCGAGTCACATGACTTCTTGTCTAGGTAATTAATGAGTAATGATGCCAATCGGGATTTGGACCAATCTGAGCGAAACCGAATTTGCTTCAGTCGGGGTTTTGAAATGACTCGTTCAGTGCATTCACTTACCCCCATCTGTTGGATCACTGCGTCGTGTCCGACGTCCGTGTTTGGAATTATTATGTACGAACATGTTGTCCGATATACAGAGCAATTTTCTTTCGATCGCCGGTGTCGAAGAGACCGCTACCTTTTGATCAGAGAGAATCAGGTGAGGGAGAAGAAAACAAAACAGGAAAGAATAAGGGTAGATTCGGTTTGATAAATGGATTACACCTAAATGACCAAGGAGTAAAGTTAGATCAGCTGAATGTTGATATTGGTGAGTTCTCCTAGCTGGAAATGTTATTCGAAGACGTTTTTGTAGTCCAGCTGGGCAACATCATCAATGCGACTTCGGGGATGTTGTTACCTGGCTTGGCTATAAAACGTCTGCCAACAACATTTCCAGCTCGGAGAACTCACCAACATCAACATCCGCACCCCGGGCTGCAATCATTCCACATCATTTCCAGATCAGTTGAATGTTGTGTATATACCGTTCGGACCTATCGCGCTCAAATGCAGTTCCGTTGCAATTAGTCGGGAACTGTCAGTAAATTGTTAGTGGATAAAATGCCTATAATCAACGAGATTGTATCACAGGCCTCTCCTATGAATGTTGATTTTATATACCATCTTTATCTCCTCATTAACAACCTTTTGTTCAGAACCTCTAATTCTTTCTTTGGTAACAACATCACCCTTCATGATTCCGTCTTTTCTCACTTCCTGTCATGTTGCCATCAACATCGATCGTCACTGAATCATCTGCTCAAGTTGCTCAAGGTCGCCAACGGTACGGTTCCGGGAGGAAATGTTCAGAATATCTGTCTGAGGGTCTGCCATTCACGTCCCGACTGGAAGGAAAAACTACCTTCTGTGGACGGGTCACAACAAGGGCAATGCTTTTCATCGGTATTTAAAGAAAACTCCATTACTGTTCAATCCATCATCACACCGACTGATACTTAATCTATAAATTGATCATGATACCTACCTAGTTATGACCAATTTAGTTTCAGCACATTCTTAAACTAGAGGTGTGCACCTCTAACGAGAAAATTGACCAGACAAATAAAACCAACTGGGAAACGAACTCACTTGAAATCTTCGCATATCGCGTGGATTACCAGCATTTTTCAAACAATTCTGATTGCATTTCATAAAGAATTTGAGGAAATATCTACGAAGAAATGGAAGAAATTGATTTTGATGATTAATTGCGGGGAAAAACACCAAATCGAACCTTCAAAATGTATAAAAAGACAAATAGCTGATAACTATGGTGTCCATGACTCCGTATGGAAGTAGCAGGGAGCAGAATTAGTCAAATTAAAGGGGTCATGAGTTCAAACTATCCGTCACCTTCTTTGTCGCTTAATATTTAAATTCATAAAAGTACAAGTTACTGATGAGTCTTAGCATGGACGAAACAGCTGTTCAATACCATTTGTCGGTTATGACAAAGCACAAAGTTCGTGCCTGTTTTTCGGTCAGACGAAAGAAACTGAATGTGATAGCAATAACTAATCTCCATTTGTTTCAATTTTACCTGTGTGTGTATGTGCAAGGAAGAGAAATGTGGCTTTGCTTGAGTGTCGCATGACGAATCACGTGTCGAGTATGTTTATCTATCAGGCACGAATGGAGCAGAAGACTAGGGGTTAACCTCAATTCACCAAACGCGCATCACGAAAATGTACTTGGGAACGTAGATAAACATTCACAAACTACCTCAGCCTCCCACCAACATCAAAACCTCCCTGTCCTCTGTCATCTGTCTGAAAAAAGCATTCCATTGGACACAAAACAAGTGTCGGTGACTTCGGGATGGATAGCACTGGTCGGGAAATCAGCCGTATTTGTCACACATGTAAACATAAAAATTCCACACTAATCGGGNTACTGTTATCGGTCCGTGACCAAATGAACCCGGTCCAGGGGAACTTTTTTGTAGAACCCACCCGTCACCCTCCGTGAACCGGTGTTTTACCATTGATGCAACTTGGACCAGTGAAAAATGTGGCAAAGTTCCCGGATTCCAACAGATGTAGAGAGGGATGAGAGAGTAGATGTTAGAGCCTCAGTCCAGTAAATATCAATAGAGTCCACGTATAGGCTTTCGCAAGCGAGTGAGCCCGTGCGTGCCTCTGTGCACGTGTGTTGAAGCGAGAAAAAATTCCCTTCATTTGTTACATGCCGGGATAACACACCTCTTATGAAGGTGGAAATAAGTAACAAAAATCGGCAAATCCGTTCAACTGTTGTATTCCAGCCAGGTTCATTCACAGTTTGAGGACTAGTTGGTTATTTAATTGGGGGATAACGACCTTATCATAACGCTTTTATTGATACAGACCCGGAGGATATAGATCAGGTGAAATACACAACGATATCTGAAAAAATACCGCTCTATTCCATTTATCGATTGTAAAAACTTATGGAGGGAAAAGTAACTCCGAAAAATACATTGCAATGACTCTTTATTTGTAATCGCCTTAATGAATGCCATCGATATAACAGCTTATTATCTGATTACGAAAACTGGTGACAAATCCTGAGAAACTAGTTACAACCGCAATGGGTTAACCATGGTATAGAACAGCGTGCTGGTTCGCTGGATTACCTCTCGGGTTGAATGATAACGGAGAGCTGCAGTCTTTGCTTGATGAATATCAGTAACAACTTAAACGGTTGGACTGACACAAGTGCTTCTTGCCTCTTACGTGGTTGAGAGAAACTCGCAAACAAGTGAAACTTCCCATATTCAAAAGAACGGAAAGGACGTTTAATTAGGCTTCTTCCGTGCCGTAATATGTACAATCAAGTCCTCTGTCGAATTCGCACAGTTGTCACGCGTTAAACCACTTGATGAAGGAAATCACTAACTTTTCTTCAGAGCAAATGACACTAACTTTCCTGTACTTATTTACTTTTTTTATCCATTTTCATTATTTCTGCAATGAATACATCAAACCTGACAAAATATCTCCCCCCTCTCGTTAGTTCCAGTTTCACCTCTTTTAAACGGACCAGCTTAATACGTCTAATTTAAACTGTGGTCTGCATCAGTTCTCCCCTCTGTTCAACACACAAAAGTGGGCTGATTTTGATGTGTTGGAGCACAGGAGGAAAAAATTACGTCCGCTGAACACGCATTTCCGTAAAAGCTGGTCGGCATCTCGTCTAGTGCCGTTAACAGAAGGACAATCTGTCGGAACCAAAATATTTCAAGAATAAAGTGCTGTAGGACGATAACGATGGATAAGAGAAGACCGCGAGACGAGCACATGACGGTATCCAGACTTTGAATTCCATTGCACTACCTTCTACCTTGGATTAGATCGTTTGTTTAAACTGGTATGTGTCAAAAATCACATGGTTTCTAAGTTTGAAAAAACAGTATTCTAGTGAAAGAAATTGATACAATTGTTTTTAAAATGTTTAAATTCAACGAAGAATACTGTCATACGTTACAAACTATGAGACACTCAGTAGTTCGAATTTTAACCGATTAAATCACAAATCCAGAAAACGGAGCTAAAGATCACGTAAAGCTTATGAATGACTTTATCATCTATACCTTTTTCAGTTTAAGATATCCGAAGTCTAATTTAAGATGTCACAATATGAATTTTAGATGTCCGAGTAACAATTTAAGATGTCATGTTGCTATGTTTTCACTCTGTACTGTGCAAGGTACAATCCACATAGCAACATGACATATTAAATTGATACTCGGTCACCTTAAATTCAAATTGTGACATCTTAAATTGGATTTCGGACATCTTAAACCAACAAAGGTGTAATCTAATATGAAGTTCACTTATTATCTTCTGGTTAAGTTGATTGGACATTGCATTCTTGAAATATATATCTGTTATCCTTTAAAACGGTCATACGTTTAACTTCACTGTCAGTTAAAACGGCCAACATCAGCTCGACAAACCTTCGTAACCATTCCCTCATGTCACTTGATTACCAGACAATGCAGTGCTCATTAATAAGATAGAAAAGCCGCAATCTTCGCACCCTCTAGAACATGTCATTTTGGCCCCTTGTTAGGTTAATTTTCTATTGGGTTAGTTGTCCAAAACGAGCAATCCGTACACACGCACTGGAAAGTTTCAGCAATGTAGTTGGATCAGACAGTGGAACTATATGTAACTGGTCTTACATTTTTACTGTTGCATGTTGTCAAACATACGTGCATAGCATATATTTTTTAGTAAATTTGGGATACAAATGACTTTAGATTGTACACCACAATACTTTTTCACTAAATTTTATTGTGTGATGAACGAACAATCAACTGGCACTATACATATATGTGCACATACACAAGGGAACCATCACGCCCGAGCATATACCACAACATATATATCTGTAGTGCCTGATTGTTTGAGAGATCAAGTTCGACCTCTTTCTAGCCTCGTTCAGTTTACCACTGGTTTCTGTGGTTAGATTCTGGTTAGATACAAGCAGAACCTACCTAACATGTGCTAAATGAACTGTAGAAATTTGTTCCCGAGTGCAAGTTTCTCATTAATCACTAAAATCACAGTATCGAATGAAGTGTTTCTTAGACGCGAGACTTCACTCAACTCAGCCCAAATAAACCAGGAACAAACGTGATGTCTGCATTTGTCTAATATTCCGAATTAACCAGAAGTAGCCTGAACTGAAACTCTTGTTTGGTGAGACTGCATAGAAGAATAAACCCTCCCACAATATGCCCTTCATCGATTCCACCTCTTAATATCACGTGGGTAGCTTCTACTTGTCGCTCATCTATCTATCTATCTGTCTGTTTCAGTCATCAAAGTAGGCCAGATGAATTAAACACGGCGCTCGAATCGGGGGATGCACGTGTCGATATTTCGCACGAAGTATCGTCATTAACTTCAACAACAGTAGCAGCATCAGCATCATATAATGAACATTGTCATGGTGCTTTCTGAGCACCCTAAACACGACTGAATCAAAATGTCCGCTAAATATCGAATCGATACACGTGTCAGTCATTTNCGTATTAGCAACGACCAGGAAGAACTATCGCATTGATTGGTACTCGTACGTCTGTCCGCTGAAGAATATTCCATGGCAAATGTTTGCTCGCCTCGTACGTGACTGTTTCTCAGACCCGCACACCGAATCACTATGAATGTTTGGTCAAACCCACGGACTTCAGTTTCTGAATTTGACCTGCTATTGGAACTTCCTATCCGAATGGGCGCAGCGCATTTTGTGGCATGGCGATCGAAGTCCAAGCTGTTGTGAATTTGCATTTCTGATCATACGTTTCAGAGGTTTTTAGATAGTGTATGCCATTTTGCGACAAAGATATTAAGGTAACAAATGTTTCTGACTGGAACACATTTCCAAATGAAAGCTGTGAATAGTTCTCTGATCATGACCAAAAAAATTAGTTCTTCCCTCGATAAAATCAATTTTTTTTTTGGGGGGGGGGGGAANATTAAGTGCAGCCTGCGCTACAGGAGGACGACAAGGTGAAAACGAGTGACATTTTGGGTTATGAGCCAGGTTCACACATACTATGATGCTATATACTGACATGTGTAGTTTACTGCTGCAGAGATATCGCTGGCCTAATTAAAAACTACCACGTCCTCGTATATCACCACTGATCTTCTACTACGGCTTATTCAATAAGACAATATCAAACTACTCTTAGTGAACTCTCTAAATGTCTTTTCTTCTATCCGCGACCTAGAGACTCTCCCGTAGACTTTAAGTAGCCGCCCGCATCTGAGCTATAAAAATGACAGTTACCTATCGATTGCAAACTTCGTTTAGGTAAATTTTGACAATTGTATAAGTTGACAAACTCGAGCGAAAAAGGAAAATCACATCCGACCTTAGATGCAGAGGAATGAATGTTGATTATGATGCACATTTTGTTTCATTTTAACCCACCTAAACAGCTTGCAGAGCCGTGGTTTAATGCCACTTGAAATATCAACTTTGGCGATGCTGGTTTGTTCATTGTGCGCTCTGACATCATATGGTGGTTATCAGTGATACCTCAGTTATGTCCGTTCATCACTGCACTCTCCAGCAGCGACGGTCTGAAACAACAAGAACATGATCCAACCTGCTCCTGGTGAGAGCGAGACACTTGAAAAAAGTCACCCTAGCTTACCTGACCACGCGTGTAAGTGTGGTACAGCAGCCAGCCCTACCAGAACGGTGGAACTGGAAACCGTCAATGTTTTTGAAGAATCCCACTCATGACTTACGGTTGCCTATTCTATGTGCAGAAATGTTTGAGTAAAATGACACCACTCCCTCATTTTGTCACACAGAAGTTATACCATGCAGTATGTCTATAAACTGATAATACATTTCGCGTTAGTAACCGATGGGAAGCAGTGAATAATTTCTTTGGTTTACATAACTTAGCCGTCTTCGAGCTCGTATAATTGCAGATGATCGGCACAGAAACAAAATATATGTGGGGCATAAATTTCAATTAACTGGCGTACGTTTGCTTGTGCAAGCATATTTTGTATAGAAATAGTGAACTTATAAGTTTCATACAATCTGAGGTTGGTTGAAATATTTCATATGAAATTATTGATCATTACTATACTGTGAACTACCCGATAAGACAATTCATTCACTGCGTGAATACATTCACTTTATAGTTTATGAATAGTAAAAATATTTGACCGCATAGAAATAATTATATTGGTATGACACATAACAGTTTGACATGTTTTGTTCTTTTATTCCGGAGTGGTTGAAGCATTATGGTTCACATGCGACATTGTTCCACTTTTAGTGAAATGACCGTTTTTGTGCCCGCGTTTCGTAATACCAGTTAAAGAGAGAGCGATGTGGGTACCGTTCAGCCAAATTCCCTGCTCCAGCTGTGAGCCATTCAAAATGAAATATATCTGAAATTTTTCATACACGTTTGCTGAGATATTCGAGGTTTGTTTTCCTGGAGCGTTTTCTAAATATATCCAGTGATAACCACCTCTTTGAATCCCAAAGCTTCACATATTTAGAAAAGATTATAACGTTGACTGACAGATGTCGTTGAGCTCAGCCAGTATTCTTTAAACTATCAACTTGGATCATGGAGTGGCTTTCTCTAACGGGACCATTGTAAGTTAGCTGAATTTCATTAAACAAGAGTTCTATTCGCAAGGAAGTGAAAATCGAGTCGTGTTTTTTCCCCCAACTAGCCGGCTTCTGACACAATGGTAGTCATTTCTAGCCTCGTCAAAATAAGCACTGACAGATGAAACTGCTTTAAAATAAATTGTGCTAATTCCATTCTTCGTCCTTTACTTCACATGAGAAATTCTTTAAGTACATTGGAGTAACTCGTTTGGACCTTAATACATTTCAGATTACTGATTTGTCACATTGGAAAATCCTGAACTATATCGACACTTGATCTGTGAAAATACATTTGAAGGCTTAATCTTAAATACAAAAATTCACCTCCAGAGTTCAGGTTTATTTACTCCTCATTGTTCTATTCATAACCAAATGTTTATGGGATGTTGGAGATCAACCAAAGACTTAGTAGACACATCCGTAACACGGCGTGTATGACACCTGCTGATAGGCTTCGATAAGCACGTACATTCCATTCGACCCAACTGTATCGGCCATCCACCCATCGGCAGATATACATATGTTCATTGGCCCAGAAGTAGAAAATCGCGATAAACCAGTGAGAGGATAGCACGTGACGCTCAGACAGCAGCTGCTCACCAGACACGAAAATGTAGTACGTGTGGACGGAGGGGTGCGGGGGACAGTTATTGATCAATAAAGCATTTTCGACCGGTTTGGTTGTTAACATGTCTACTAATAAGCTTTCGCGGTACTGGATCGATGTACATTCAGTCAAAACGGTCCAATGAGGACAGCTGGTACACTTCTGCTCACATTTGTGTCCGTCACTCTACCATGTCCTCCTCCGCTTACGTAAACAAACTATTTCAGGTTGATGCGTGTACCGGACAACTGATAGTAACATTGTGTTGCGCGGAAAATAGTTGTTTTCTTCCCGCGTCCCCCATGCACCAAGTGGATTGATACAACTACCCGGTGGAGCGCTTACACAGTTCGACAATTTGAAAAACAATGTGATATTTTTTTATCATACCAGTGTGTGATGAACAGCAGACGGACCAGACCCTATAGTCACGTAGACCTGCAGTACAGGGATGGTAACCGGCAACCTAGGTCCCGGGACTTGAAGTGGCGAATCACATAAGGCCCCGATAGGTTAGACGTGGTATTTAACCGCACGGCAGCCGATCTGCCTACCACCAAAGTTGGGTGGCGGTGGCGGGACTCGAACCTCGGACCACAGAGTCCAAAGCACCGGTGACAGCGACTAATCCACTGCGACACCACCACCCGATATGACAGGAAATCTAAGTTAACAATGTCAAATGCTTCTTAGGTTATTGGTACCTCTAAAATATCATACAGACAAAAGCTACTCAGTCAAAATGTGAGATTACCCGCTCGTGTTTTATCCTGTGATGCAAGTAATGATGCTACAATAAGCACCACTGAAGTGTATTCATCTTTACATGGCAAAAATTGCACTTTCCGATGTCAAGGTATAACTATTAAGGATGGCATAATGGTTATCCTACAAATTCTATAGAGGCTGCTCAGCCTTCCCGCTTTTTAGCACTGAGGATCGCGTTTGCCAATAGAAATACCGGAATAATTAGCAACACGTTCAATACTCCTAATAGATTATTAATCTTAAGTGAGTAATGGAGAGTTTGATATAATTTTAATGGTGAATTCGTCGTGTATATAGCAAATGAAGCGTGAACTGAAAAGCTAGGAAGCCCTGGACTGCTGTTTCGAACTGGTTGAGTCTTATCATCAGGGCAAATCCATCGACCTAACTGGGGATCGAACCCGGGACCTCACAGTAATCAATCGAGAAGAATGCACATTTATTGCTGTGAGATTTCGGCCGAACTGAAATAAAACCGCTTCGAATTTGTGCCGATAGACCGGGCTGCCGATTCATTCACATAGTGTTGGTTCTTTCGGCCACCTGCCAGTGCATGAAGCAATCGCCGAGATCAGCTTGTTCTCCGTGTAAATGTGTATGCGTGTGTCTGACCGAACGAGGTGACACATTTAATGACCCATCCCCATATCCAGATTTTCTATGCTTGTTGGTGTTCATTATGTCACTCCACTATTTACACCAGCTTTCGGCCCGTCCTCGTCAATCGAATGGCAATAGACAGACCCCGCAGAGCTGACGATCAATTAACTACCACAAGCATTCGATGTGACACACAATAGAGAGCGGGCAATGGAGAACGGTTTGGCGGGAGGAACCGGGGGTGGGGGTGATAGACTGAATCGGAGTAGGCGAGAGAGAGAGAGAGGGAGACTGAACAGTGGTGCTGGAGGCAAATGAGCTTATGGAATGGTTTAGCCATCTCCAGTCCTATCTAAGACGGCACTTTATTGAAAATGCCTAGTGGAGGCAGGTGTCTTACTCAGCTTGCTTCTGTAGCTGTTGTTGCTGCTGCTGTGTTTTGGTCGTTTGCTTTCCGACTGCTCATAAACCACCCCTGTGCAAAACGTGGTTATGATAATATTGTGGAGCCACTTTGCGAACAAGTCCATAACAAGCGCGCGCGTGAGTGATGGTGGGTGTTTGTGAGATGTTCGCAATCACCTAGACCATATAATGAATTAGATGGTAGTATGCGTGCTGTGAGATGGGGGTGAGGAGACGCAACCAATTGAGTCCTGACCTTCACCAAGGCAATTACTTCTCCGCTCGGAGAGCGATTCCGAAACGAGGACAATTGGTTGAACAGTTAAAAATGTGTGTTTGTGTATACAGAGCTCGTTAAATGGCTGATGAGGTCACCCGAATGACTGGCGTTGTATGACGTGAATAGCAAGCGGTCTAATGCTCAATATGAGGGAACATCTTATCTTACATGAGATGTACATTGTCAAGGAATACCGTGTTTACTTACCGATCCAATACCACCGGATCTGAGGGTGTCTCGTTCCGATTTCCACAACTTTTCTTCTCACAACAACGGCTGCACATTACCTCGTGTGTCAGTAATACACGGCACATTTCCGGGTTTTTATCCTGTCCTTCGTAGGTAATTGGCTGAAAAGGGAATTCCATACACACGGAATTGATAAATAAGAATTCTGTGAAAGTGTTTCAACCACAACAAACAATTTTACTCTCAACTTTCCGAAAGAGAGAAGCGTTCAGTTCAACGGTGGCAAAACAGCCCCATCAGTTCTGGGCAACAACGCCAGGGCTCAGCCACACGATAATATAATAGAAGTAATGTTGGTATATGCAGTTTCATGACCTGTTTCAGATATGAATGCATCATATAAAACCAGTGTCCATGTTTTTCTCAACTCTAAGCGGTACGCTACTGGATGAACCCATCCTTTAATTCGGTTTATGCTTCAATGAATTCATACAAACAACAGGCGGATCACACTCAACAGGGTGATGCAATTGGTTTTGTCCAATTCAAGTGATTTAAAAGTATAAGTGGAGATTGGAGTAAACAAGGAATTTTTCAGTAGAATCACTCGTGTTCCGTTATTCGAGGATTTTGCAATGAATATTCTAATGTCTGTGAGGAATATGCAGCTAGGGGATCATAAAATTATTTCAAAAGTTTTATTCGGAAATTTTAATCGATATGTACGCATATCAAGCGGTTTACTGGTTAAGAACATTGTAAGAGAAATTTACATATCAAGTGTGCGAATGCAGCAACCAACGTATAGCTTCTGAATTTTCTGTTTTCCATCAACCTTTGATTGGCCACAACCCTCTTACTGAGAATGAATTGTAAAAGTGTACATTCAGTAAACAAATAAAGAACTTAAAACATCATTAATAATAATAGTAATAGCCATGGAAACTAACCGCATGGTTAAGTTCGATAGATAGGTAAGTCTTGAATGAAGTTCGTTTTCGAACTTCGGTACAAACAGACACTCCGTGACAAAAGTATTGCACCCCTCCCCGTAGAACTTGCTCATTGAAGTCAATTTGGTACCGGATGTATTAGCCATTCCACCTCAAAACTTCTGCACTCCTTTCCGGAACGACAAGCGCATACTACTCCTGGTGTTTGTAAATCAGTGTACCGCAGCATATCATTCTATAGATAGTAAACTTAGAATGTTGACCACCATTCCGTGAAAGTAAATGGAATCCATTCGTTGATCACTAATGAAAAGTAAAACATTGGGTCCTCTTAGTTCAATTCGTTAGAAACAGGGAGAAGATAAGTGCTGCAAGAGTTCATCATTTGTTTTCATCTTCTGGGTCGCTACAACGTAAAAGCAATTGTGTATTTATGCAAGACAGTTTTAGGAAGTAAAGTGACCCAAGAAAGGCTCTCAGCCTTCAGCGAAGCAATGTTAATCAAGTTGCGCAACCTGATTTTATATGCAGTCGATCGAATGACCGTGGGACCGACTCTCAAACCTGCCCCCCCCCCCGCTCNTATTGTGGTCTTTAAACCGCTGTACTTAACAAAACGGCCATGTGCAACTATTAGACTGTTTTGCGCTGCAGTGACTAAGGAGATTAAAATGAACGGCCCTGTTTCGCAATATTTGTCTTCTCTGTGTTCTGATAGTATTAACCAGTAAATAACCGGTGACAGCAGTTGCATGAGAGTTGTGTACGTGGTCGACGTGATCAGAGGAGCAGTTAAGAGAATAAATAGAACCGTAGTGGCATCAAGACTTACCTGCTTGGTTGCGGAATCTACCAAACGAACGTAGAGATCTTGATCTTGTTGTACGCCTAGATGAAGTTTAGAGAGAGCGGGAGATGGAGAATTACAATCGTTAGCACCGGTTACATTTCAAACCCGATTCACATTGGTGAGTCAAACGCTTGGAATAAACTGTTTGGAATCAAATGCATTCACCATTTTGGGAAACAGAATTAATATAACGTGACTTACCCCGCGAGAACTCCGAGTATTTATCTCGCCTCCCTCCCCGCCGTCCCTTTTTTCTTTAAAGGTGACCAAAAACTGGCAACAACAGTAAATTAAATTACGCGACTATCGGTTACTAGCTGGCACAGCCTTTTGTCAACCACCGGAAGACTAGTATCTGTCGGTCAAAATAAACAACCAAAGACGTAACACTAATCCGTGGTGTTTACGAACGGAGTATATATTTATGGTCAGTCGTAAACCCACAGCTGTTCACAATAGTTCTTTACGCTGAATACACACGTATCAGCCCCATGATGTACGGACTTTGTGCACCGCTATCTCGGTACCAAAATCGATTAATTGCTAAATACGTACACCTGGCTAGTTATTTGTTTCTACTCTTGGTTACACAAATCGGTTTTTGTTTGAGACAACAGTTCTCATCACAAAGCAATCGTTGCATAAGATTGATATAGGGAATGGTGTAAACGGGGGTAGAGTTCGAACCTTGAACCGCATGAGCACTACACGAGTATCAACTAGTACCAATAGTAAAAGCTTGCCCATAGGTTATCACTATGAGAAACCATTTCCAGAAAGACCTTGATGGATAGTTGTATAACTGTTACTTTGTGTTGGCAGGAGAATTGTGCACAGGACGCACTTGAGCTCAAGATCAACCACTAGGACAACAGCTATGTTACTATCCATTTGGATGTATTTTCACATGCTGCTTGAGGAATGTGATCAAGTAGACGCGATACAAACGGTTGTGGCGAATAAACACCATGATGTTTTCTAAGGGATAGTGAGTCGAACAGATTGGGAGGAGCATATAAAGATTAGTAAACCTAGAAATATGGATACTCAAAACTTGGGACTGATTTAGGGTAGAATGGATCGAGAGCATCGTCGTTGCCACACACACACACACACACACACACACGTTTGCTCCGATTGCCTGGACATTTGTAGAGCCAAAACCTGAGCTCTCCTCTAATTCAAAGGCACAGCATTCCTATCTTCCGGTTTTTATAAAACAAAAGATTGATCTTTTGGACCTATGTCCTCCATCCATTCTCTTCTCTTTATAGAGTGAGGTAGAACAGGGATTAGAGTCACGTGTCCGGTGTGGATGAATCATGTCTGAAGTATACTCATCCTACACGCTCAATCTTGCTGTTATCATGAACCACTCCTCCTCTTATCGCGAGCCCACTCCCACCTCACCTATCACCCGTTTAAGTAAGTTCCGAATTTCAGCGTCAAACGAAGTGCATGAGATAAATAAGTGTGACATTGTTTTGCCTGTCCATTTTGTGTTAGGTCGACCTGGATTAGGAGGGAGCGAGAGAGAGGGAGTGACCCCTGCGGAAAGATGCAGTACTCAAAAGAAAACAGAGAGAAATTGATGGGGCAACGATGAGGACACTCCGACTGTCTGTCTCCACCGCATAGTCAAACATCCATGGGAAGGGATTAGGCACTGGTAAATACATACCATTTTAAACCGCAGCTCTGAAGCGGTAAGGGAAACGATGCCTAAGTTGACCAGGACATGCATGATTAGGTCTGTCTTATCCTGATATTCATTAAGCCTTGTTTCTTTTATTTTTGATAATGTCCTTAAAAACAACGTGGAATGTGGATCAAGTTACCGGTTGCACGGGTGCACAAACCCCCGTTATATTATTTGACATAAACACAAAACTTATACATTATAAAATGTGGTTCTAATAGTATATCACAGGGAAATCAGCATATCAAATTTGGCCGTTTCATTAACTGAAAATTTAGTTGAATTTCTAACCGATTTTGTGTTAAACAAAAAGGGTTACCGGAAAGTAACATTCTTAACAACCCATTATCACTCATCCCTTATTTTAATCTCTCTATTCAACGCATACGAGTGATGACTATCACTTTAAATTGTATTTTAAAAAGTAAATTTCACATGGAAAATGAGCTAAGTTAGCCTAGTCTGACTATGTTGTGCAGTTACGGGATTGCGAAATTCCATCGGGATTTCCACTCAATGCGTTGTTCGAGTGAAAACCTACCGCTGTTGTTGGTATAGTGTTTAAAATTGGTTTATTGTTCGTTTATGACGGAGCGACTGAAATCATTCTTGTCACCAATTTTCACCGAATTAAACGTCATAGAGAGATGGAGAACTTACCATTAGAAAAGATCAATCGTGCTCGATAGTGGATTCCGTTGTTGGTTTTCTCTCCGTCCGGCTCCTAAAAGAAACAGTCAAACGTTGTTTACATCACTATGGTTAAACATGAAGCAGATTTATCTCACAGAACAAATACCAAACGTCAGTTGGACTGCAGACTGAATTGGTGGCCGTCTTGCCAACCCACTAGTGGTAAACGAGAAAGCGAGCTATTTTTGACGTGCCACTTGCCGTTTGAAATTCTCCGACAGCATAAATTAACATCAATGTTGTTGCTGATTTAAAGGTTATTTGATGGCCGAGTTAAACCAAAGAAAAAGAAATTTCAATGTTTTTATCCCATTTTTTCGGTGAGTGGTGGTGGTTGATTGAAATATGTTCGAACTCAGCCTTCGTGGCTCACTGTCCTACCAAACCGTTAACCGAAAACCAACCACCTCCCTTCTGAAAATTCATTGTAAATGTGTTACTCGTGAGAGAAATGAGGATGAACAGGTGGATAATTAGATATTATGATTATATAAGCGATTATTTTTCGTGTGGTGTGAATCTAGTTAACTTGATAGGAGTTCGTAAACATATGATAGAACTGCACAATATCAGATCCGAATTTGGAACGGATGTTATTGAAGTAATTGTGCGTCATGCTCATGGTATTAGATCCGTGAAGGAAAACGTTTGGATTAGCCATGACGATGAAAAACCAAAAAAAAACAAGTTTATTTTTTGGTGACGACGTTAGAACTACAATAGAACTACAATGAAACTATTCTATACTTACAGAAATATATTCAAAGTAATGAAATGGACGGCATGCAAAATCAATAGATAAATTTCCTTGGCTATCTCGGCCTTAGTATTACTCAAACCACACTACGATCATTCACCATCAACTTGTAATAGGTACCGATTTTCTACTGAACGAGCGGATCATATATGACCCAGTCTTTCATTCCGCACCCACACACTTCTGTTCCAGCCAGTACTGACTATCTTTTACACTGGTAAAATTGTGCTTCACTTCTCATTGGGTTTCAATTAATTGTGTGTGATTGAATATTGACTAAATAATTAGCTCTACTCGGCTGAGTTCACTGGTTCAGTCCAAGTCTGTACATTATATACATAAATGTCATTTCCGGCTATCCGGTACCTGTTACAGTTTAAACCCCCTTTCGGGAGAATTCCAGTCTAATGATTGCGCCATAGATCGTTTGTATCCACCTTTCGTCCACATATTTTACTCACCGTATTCAAATGAGAGAATCTGTTATTTCACAAAATTCAGTTTATTCCTTTCAGGCCCACCTACAATAACACATCATTTGACTATGATGTTTAGTTCTCTCAGTTAAAATATTATTAAAAGATAATTGCTTCATATTTCGATGCTGATTGTCAGTCATCAGACAGTGGAACTCATTGGTAATTTTACAGAAAAGTGAGCTTTTACTGATTCCCACGTAGATGTACACTTGTGCACATAAGTGTTTGATTGACGTGTGCTGGTCTGTTTGGTAGCCCACGAAATTCTGTCCGATTGTATCATTTTTTTGTCTGGTGTTCTGATTTCTGCGGACCTTGTGCTTTGAAGTCAAACCCTTGTGCTCCGGTGCATGACCGAAACTCACTGGCACGTGTACGCGTGTGTCGTTGACTGATGTCCAGACAAAAATGGATACAACCGCAGGCTGGAACACGTGACCGTGAAGTCTCTACTTGACATATATCAGGGAGATATGGATACCTAGTTGTAGCTCCTCACAATGCGGCTGGGAATGATCTAAAAGGATAGTAGGTTTGTCGATGATCCACTGCTTTGTTCTATAGTTTGGAGTGAGTACTGATTTCAGTTCGAGAGTCGAAAGGGTTACCGATGAGCTCAACAGTCTACTGTCAACATCTTGAAAGGACATATATAGTATATATTCACTATATATATATATATACAGGTATTTATCAAACTCGTACAACATCACTCTTATATTTGAAATACATTTCAGTTTCCAATATCATGCTTGTATATTGATGGCTCTGGGTAAAGTGTATTTATTCCCGATTTTACCTCCCAGATCTATGTTCTTAGTTCTCTTCTATCACCGTTTGAATTTGCTTGACCTTGAGCGTCGTGATAAAATTTGTGGTAGTTCGAAAGTTACTTCTCAGATTTGGAAAATATTTTACGCAAAGTGGCATGAAAATTCATTTTTTCTAATAAATGATTCTTGTTTCCTGAGAATGCTGATTAAGTTGA